GGTGAGGAGGTCTGGGGTGCAGTCGGTGTTCCAGTTCATCCCAAAGGTGTTCAGTGGGGTTGAGGTCAGGGCTCTGTGCAGGACACTCGAGTTCTTCCACTCCAACCTTAACACACCATGTCTTCATGGAGCTCGTTTTGTGCACAGGGGCATTGTCATGCTGGAACAGGTTTAAGCCTCTTAGTTCCAGTGAAGGGAAATTGTAATGCTACAGTATACAAAGACTTTCTATATAATTGTGTTCTTCCAACGTTGTGGTAACAGCTTAGGGAAGAACCACATACAGGTGTGATGGTCAGGTGTCCACAAACTTTTGGCCATAGAGTGTATATGTGAGCTTTACTTCAGTTTTTAGTTCTGTGATGTCTTTTTGTCCACTTCTATAGATAACAGTGTGTCATAGAATGTCAGAAATCTCAGAGCAAGTCTTTTTGAGATTTTGAACAACTCAAAAAAAAAAAAAAACATTTGAGGAGAGTGTGGGATGGTGTAGACATGGAGTTTAACATGGCAGTAAACTGGTAGTTACAGGATTTGCTTATTTGTTAGCTTCTGAATTGCTCACTAAGGCAAAGGAACAGATGGATGCCTTGATAGATGAATGAATTAATGGATCTTTGGATGGATACACGGATGGATGGATGGAATGATGGAAAGATGGCTGGACAGACATTTGGAAGGATGGATGGATGAATGAATCTTTGGATGGATTGATGGATGAATGAATGGATTGATAGATGGATGGCTGGATAGACAGTTGGAAGGATTGATGGATGAATGAATGGATCTTTGGACAGATGGATGAATGAACAGATCTTTGGATGGATGGATGGATGGATAGATAGTTGCAAGGATGGATGGATGAAAGAATGGATTTTTGGATGGATGGATGGATAGACAGTTGAAAGAATTGTTAGATGAATGGATCTTTGGATGGATGGATGGATGGATGGATGGCTAGATGGATGGATGGATGGGCGGTTGAATAGATGGTTAGAAGGATGGATGGAAGAATAAATGAATGGACCAGGTCAGTAGAAAAAGGTCACGTTTGAACTGTTCCTAAATCTAACGTACTCGAAAATCAATTTTCTCTCTCAGATGATGATATTTATTCAATTTCAAT